AGAGGACGATGACGATGACGACGACGACGAAGATGATGTAGAAGATGACGGCGAAACGATGGCTGATTCAATCGAGGAGGAGGAAGAAGTGCCACCAGTTGAGGGCGACGCAGATGCCGCGTTAGAGGCTGATGAAGAAGACGAACTAGATGGTGAAATAGACGGGGATGCTGTTGCCACAGCAGGCGACGATGAGGACAATATTATGGATGATGACAGCAATTTCATGCCTGCACGCAAGCGGACACGTCTTCGCACCAACGCAAGTCCGCTCGAGGAAAAGCACGTGACGTCGAACTCTTTAACAGCGCACAGCGCCAACTCGAACAACACTGGAGCCACTTCCACACCGTCAACGCAAATGTTGCGTGGCAGCTTGCGACGTACACCGCAGTTGCTCAATGGCAGCCTGGGTAGTTGCATAAGTCCTAGCGAAAAAGCCGGCGATAATTCGGATATTTTCACAGTATCATCAGATGGACTGGATACCGATTTGGATATGAGCAATTCACAGCATAAATGCGACGATGAGCATCTACTCCACAACCACCTCCATCATCATCATCAGCATCATCATCATCAGGATCAATGCGCAAATCATCAAACGCCTAAACGCAAATTCGACTTATCCAAATATGCGCCAAATAATGCCACATCAAGCACCTGCGCGGCAGAGGCCGCAACAGCCGCTGTCAAATCTCTAGCGATATCGCAATTTCTAAAGAAGGAAGTCCGGGTGACATGTAGGCGGCTACGTGCGCCGTTCCGCCGCTATCGGTACCGCAGATAGAATGACACAGGTGATACGTCTACATCAATGACCGTTAAGCGGTGCCAGTCATGTTACACCATAGGCGAGCAGCGGGCAGTCAGAGAGGAGGAGGAATTGCTGCGTGTACAAACGCCGCAGCCCTGTGGTTACATATTTCACTAAATAAAAAAAATAAAAAAAACTTACATATATTATACGGACTAACTTAATAAAAATGAAATGAAAAATCGCTCTCACAAGGGGTACTAAAGTAAACAAGCATCTATTTGTATTTTGTACGTGTAAATTGTTATGCAACCTTTATGTTTTAAGTAAAAATCTTAAAGAAAATCGACCAACACAAAATGTAAAAAGGCTTTTTTTAATATGTAGACGAGATGTGGCAAAGAAGGAAGTATGTAATTCTACTCTGTCTAAAATTACAATACCTACAAATTACATTTTGTAATAAGTTCATTAAAAAAAAACATCAAAAGATAACTGAAACAATTTAAACTAAGTACTACAAACTTGCAGCTGCCCACGCACTAGCCCACGATCCACATTGTACAGTATGATGTAGAAAAGTTAGCGTTTACGTTTATTTTTGTGTGTAATGTTAGCCTAAATGAATTTCGTAAATCCTCAGCTTATGAACGTTTAAGTTTAAGTTAAAGAAAAAGCCGCTGAAATTAAAAATGGTTTTTGTTGATTTTTTTTTATATATTTTTTTCTTTTAATTTTTTTTCTACGCATAAAAATGTAATGTAAAGTGTAGCGTTTAAGTAGCGTATTGTTGTAATCGTATATATTTAATAAATAAAATAAAGAATGCAAAATGCATATGTATGTATGTGTTGCTGAAATAAGCGAAACAAATCTAATTTTCATATGTTCTGTAAAACAAAAATAAAAAATAAAAATAAAACTATAAATGAACTTAACTTTAAATACAAAACAAAAACACTTAAATTATATTGCTATAAAATAATTCGGCGATATGTATGTAATTTAAAGTAAATATGTATCTTTTTTTTCATACGCCAGCAACATTTCGTATATACATATATGTAGATACAAAAGTTGATTATTCAATTTCACAATCATGCAACCTGTGTCATTACTTCTTAAGTATGTATGTATGTACAAGTACGTTGAAGACATTGATAAGCTGATAAAACCAAACTACTGCTAAATGTTTAAGTTAACAAATAAAAATGTCGAAAGTTATAATTTAATTTAAAAAATATATACAAAATTGACTATTTTTACTTTACGAAAGTTTTGAAAAGTAAGTAAAATTCAGTACCCAATGATGTGTTTGTTGTTGTAACAGCATACACATTTCCGATTCTGGTGAAATCTGCAAAAACGCGACGAACGTGTATTTTTGTGTTGTTGTTACTCACACTCACTACATCCAAAAATCTTAATAAATATTATTTTAAAAGTGTTTATAAAGTAAGCAGGTTTTTTAAAATTACAAACAAATTGGATTTGAGCTTTAAAACAATATTAACTAACACCCAAATTCAGAAAATGAATAAAAATTTTGTATGAAAATCTTACTTTATAAAGCTCCCACTGGGAAAATAGGTAAGCAGCACCTTACGAGGTAAGCCATCTTTCCTTTCCGTTTTTAGTACGAAAATTGTCATCATGGCCAATGTCATCTACTAGTAAAGCGCAAAATGAACACCTCCGACGACACATTCACGACGTTGTCAGTTACAAAATAACGTGCAGTCGCAAGTTATTTCCAAGCACCGAACTACTCCGAGTGACTGCTCTGCATTACACGTAACTTACTTTGTAAAGCGGCTCAGAAGTATGTCTGATACCAAATGTACATTCTAAATTCCTGCTTACATAAGCCGGCCACGTCTTTGTTAAAGTAAGGGAGATTCGTCAGTGAGGTGGTAAGAACAGCCGGGTGAAGTGTAAGTTGCTGGTAAGGTATTGCCCTTCACCTGGCGGTCCTTACCACTTCCCACAGAAAATTCAGCTACTAGACTCAGTAGCCGACAGTTGGTAGCCAGTAGCCATACGTAACTAACTAACTAGACTTTTCAGACGGTCTGAATACACTCCACCAAATAATTATAAGACCTGTATTAAGACTTCACCAAGAACACAGTTTTCATAGGAAAAAATTTCGTTATGTGAGAACACTGTCATATGATCAGTCTGTGTTTTATAGCGATACTACCCTGCAAAACTAATTTTTCCGAGTATTCTGAATTGTAGAGAAAATTTAAAGAATTCGTAAAGATCTCATCCGATTTTCAACTTTCATTGCCTCTAATATGAACATTTTATTTGAAAACTTCCCAAAGTTATAACAAAATAATTAGGATCTTTTTGAGTGACAATGAAAAAGTTAGTAATTTCGGTAGTTTTTCGCCTAAATAAACGTTTTAAGGCTAAAATATTTGATTTATTTTTTATTGTATTTTTTTTCTGGAACTCCATTGATTGAAATAGATGCAAGAATAATGTTTTTTTTCTGCCGATAGAAGGAAGTGATACTACGAGTTAAAACGGTAATTATAAATTACTTAGAATTTCGAGAAAATTATGGAGTGAAGCGAAGTACTGGGAGAAAATTTACTTTATCACCAAGGGATATTCCAGAAACTATGCATTTTTCAAAATTTAAGGTCGAACAAACCATCTAACTTTGTGAATATCCTAAATTTAAAATCCGTCGACTAGACGTGTGGAGCAAGCGTTTAAAGCGTATGTAGACTTAGATTGCAATAAACGTGTACCAACACCTTCAGTGTACCACCTACTTGTGGCAACCATCCGGCCCATCCGAATTAAATATGTTTTCACCGGATATCACCACATTAGACCACTCTTTGTCGCAATAGTGGCAATTTTCTTCAAAGCTTAGTCTATTTGCCTTAAGCCGAGGTTATGGTACACGTTTATTTTATTCTACATCTGCTTTATCCGCAATATACGCTTCTACGGTTGCCTCGTGTGTATTGAAAAAGAAAAACATGTTGATTCAACACGTAGCTTCAACGGTTGCCTCGTGTGTAGTCAGCATTATAACAAAAATATTTTAAAATAAAATAAGTAAAAATAAGAATTTAAGTTAAACGATTTTGTTGAAAAGAAAGATAATAAATAATTTAGATAATGTACTAAAAGTGAAAAAATATTTAGGTAGGTCCTAGGTACAAATTATTACACTACCTTCCTCATCGGCCTAGGGCACTGATGTCACTAAAAAAGTGGAAAAAATAATAGAAAAAAAAGGTTTGACATCTGATATTTTACAGTCTGCTGTCTCACTGTTTCCTTAAGAAATAATGGAGCGGGCATATATCGTCGCTCGAATAAAGAAACAGTGTAAATGCCACATACACTATTATTCGATAATTGCACCATTGGATAGGCAATCCTTTAATCTATTAGAAAAATCTTTAGTTTTCTAAAATATCTCTTTGGCTCACTAATTTATTCCCGAAAAACGAAATTGTATTTGTATGGTTTGTAATGGTTTATAAAAGCTTCCAATTCGTTTTTCTCAAAACTATACTTTTTATGTTACACTATTTCATTATTCCAGCGACGATATGTTAAAAATAAGGGGGGCATGTGCTCGTCCCCCAAAAAAAAAAAACAAACTTTAGAAAACCATAGCAGAAAGCTACTTAAAAAAATCAGCCTCAATACATTTTTCGTAAGTATTTCTTGGGCGTTTTTTAATCGTCGACCTAAAGAAATGTTTACAAATAATAGCATAAAAAAAGATTTGGTTTTTATTACCAAAGGTTTGTCTCTACGGAAGGGCATTGTGCGTTATTGAAGAGAGTAAAAATAATTTATGTCAAATTGAGAATAACGAATATTAAAAAAAAATTAAAGCGACCAGTTCAGATCTCTATTATTTGAGAATTTCGAGCAACACTTAATTGTCCATTGTAATTTTTTAATCCTAGAAATAAATTGAATAAAATAGAAAACATTAAACTGTACTTGAATTTTTCTTGTTTTTCGTGCATATTTACTAATGTTTTAGTGCTTGTCTAAGCGCTTAAAATTGCTTTTTTCTTGCTTATTTTCTTCGGCCCTGCTTATGTATGTAACCTAACTATGCTGTATTCCGCTTCCGCTATTTAATACAGGTAAAATTTAAAATTCAAAATTTAAGCATTTCTTTTTAATTTCAAATAAAATTTTCTTCAATTCAGTTATCTTAAATTTTTACGTTTATTTTAATCCTCCCTCATAGATCTACGCAAACTAATCAAATATGAGGCAACGCTTGGCATTAACATTAATCAAGACAACTATTTTGAGAACCTCTTCAAGCGCACAACTGCCAGTTTTCGCGCCAAAGTTGGAAAGGAAAATGTACGTTGCGAACGAGTTGTAAAGGAAAACTATACACGTAATCATGATCAACATGTGTTGCGCCCGCTAAACCAATTAGCCCAGCACCAACAACCTGATTCCAGAGCAGCAATAACGAAAAAAGGGCCACAAACTCAAACTGCTCACAGTTATTCTAATACGCGCTCTGGAGCCACCACAGAGGGTGGTGGCGTGTTGCGAAACAGCAACAAAAATCATCAATCCCAACAACATAAACCGCCGCAGTCTGGGCCATCTAGAAATGCGCGCAATTTGGAGAATTTATGCCGTGAGCAAGCTTGGCAATCAGATAATCGCATACCTTTTGGTGAGTGCCCAGAATCACGTGGACCACAACACGAAGCAGCAGAACGTGGTAGGACAAGAGTATCGCAAACAAGAGCTTTAGTTAGAGAGCGTAGTCTGAAAAGAGTTCAGCCGGCAACAGGCTCAAATGAGGTCAGAACAGGAAGAAGCAAGGCGGCCAGCTGCGCAACGGCAAGAGATGGTGGCAATTCGCAACCGGCACAAGCCGTTGTGGCACGAGACGCAAGTCATGGACGCGCACGCGCTAAGCAACCAAATCACGAACGCGGTGCAACAGCACGAAGCCCGAGTGCTGGCAGCTCTGCCACAGCTCGATCTGTGGGAGTTATAAGTAAGCAAATAAAAGATTTCCTTAGAATTATGTAGAAAAAAAACTATTCTTTGCTTCACCTTCAATTCTTGTAATTCTTCCATTTGCAGTACCACGACATTGCACCACTACACGTCGCCGCCGTCCGCTCAGTACAGATCCGGTCGCCTTATATCACTACTACCAGAGCGAATGGAATCATTTCCGCGAACAAATTCCCGGCGAGAGTTCACATGCGGATTTACGTTGGCTTATACGTACGCGCCTAATGGATCCCAACTAATGGACTATGACGAACTTAAGGGACAAGAGATATATAACTACATATGTGCATACATATTGTATGCTTTTTAGCTATAAACAAATTTTTTTATCGATTTTTTTAAAACAGATTGACTTGATTGAATAAAAACTGAATATTTGTAACTTTTAATTTCGCGCGTTAACTATGGTGTAAATAACTGTTTTTCTGGCCTAAAATAATTTTTTACATGTTTTAACACGAGTTTTTTCTTGCGACTATATTTAGATGATACAGTAAAATATAGGAAATGTATCTTGATTTTTTATAGAAAGCCATATTGTAGTCAACAATCATTATGCCGGATTTCCACTAGGAGTAAATGAGGGAGAATTCAATTAAGAGAGAGGAAACAAAAAGATATTTACAATTTTGTTCCTGCAAATGTTACTTTAGGCGTGCGCAGGCGTGCGTATAAACGTGGTAGCTGAATGTGTATGGTGCTACGGGGCATATACGTTAAACACCCAACTACGGGTATATGAGCACGAGTTATTTTTTACTTTTTTTAACCAACTTCACAAAAAAGAGAAGGTTATCAATTCATCGGAAAATTTGTTTGGTATGTATGTTACCGCATAACTTTGGGCCACGTTAACCGAATTCTATAATTCTTTTTTAAAGATCATTGGATCATGAAGAAATTAACGATAATCTTAAATTTGTATATGGAAATTGAAGTCGGATTTGTTTTAAAAAGCACAGAGCCCTGTGAATGCGCCGTTAAGAGCCCCTGCTGCGGATTTTTTTCGCGTAAATAATTTTTCAGTACAACTATTGTTGAGTCCCAGCCATAAGGATCTCACAGTCGTCCTGATTGTTTCATAGTCATTAGTTACGGGTGTGGTGTATATTACAACTCTCCTTAGTAGAACAGAAATTGTTGGTAGTAGGGAGTTATCCACTTTGCTAATTTGCATTTCCGACCCGTGTCTAGCAGAGAGAGGTAGTACCTTTAACTTTACAATACTCTCGACTTTAAGCTCTACCTAGAATTACAGCGGACAACGGTAAAGCTGTCGGCGGTAAGTGAATAGCGTACTACAATCAACACTCACTCAAAATTTGGCCGTCCCCTCTGGGCGGTAAAAGTAGAAATAAATTTAAATCAACCGAAAAACGTCGGCGGTAAAAACGCCGCCGCCGCAATTATGAGCCATTCCATATGCCTTCGTGAGTTTTAATTTTGACAGCTGTTAACCGTCGTCCGCTGCAATTCTGGGTAGAGCTTTACTGTCTTGGAATCTAACGGCTTCAATGCCGCCTGGCTGTCGAAAAATATAGTGACGTTCTCTGACAAGAGACTTACTATTCCGTGTGAGACAAGTCGCCTTTTTTTGGGGAGTGTTGCTGGAGTGACAGTCCTTGCCCAGATATAAATGTGGGTCGTTCCGGTTACGTAGACCCGACTGTCGTGGGAGTTACGATGTCTCACGGATAGCTACCTTCATGTCAACACACTCCAATGTGTCTCAAATAAATTATGCCATATATTTTTCAGATTTATATATAAAATATAAAGATCAATAAATAAACAACCTATGCCAATGAAATATCCGATTGGCGGCAACTACATCCTAATCTAGGTGTGTCTAGTCCGGGTAGTTATATGATGCCAAGCACATATTATGGGCAAGATGCATGATCGGGGCCATATGCTGTTTCCATGCGTAAGCATTTTTGAAAACTTATCTGTAATATTTTATCAAAATCGTACTTTTCTTTAGAATATCAAAACTCGAACTTTAGCTACGGACCAAGATGTATTAAACAGGGTGTGTTTGACAACTCAGGTAGGCATGCGTGATGCTAAAGGCAAGTTTACATATTTTCATTTCAAATTAATTAACCAGTGCTTATTCGATGGTAAAAATTCATTACTGCTTTTAATGATTCAGATTTGTACAATGTTTTGAATTACTTGGATAGCGATGGTACATTCCTTAAGAAAACGATCAAGTCCAGAAAAACTAAGAGAAGCAGCAGGAAACTATTTAAACTTGATCCAATTTAAATTTGATACCCTTCGCCGCCGCGTCTGTGCGATTAAGTTGATATAACAAGCGCTCTTCGATATGTTTGACGGCTTCCACAGTTAGCACCAATGTATCGTGTTTCAGCATCGAATATGTGTTGAGACCATATGAAGGCATCAAATTCACGTAACCCAGTTCGTCCGTAGCATAGCAGATGTTCTCCGGGAAAATGTCCTCTCTGAAATTATATCAAAATTTTAATTATCTGTGATCAAATTACTGGAAATGTTCCTCATGCCTGTCTACAATTAGCACGGATGGCCCCCAGTTGCGCTCTTTTATCAACTCCTTAATGAACTTTGGATCACGCGTGGGTATCTCAACACTATCAATTACATGGAGATCATCTTGCGCTAATTTTACGCTAAGTGTTGCCGTCAATCCCATTACCCGCTTATAGAATGGCAGCATATAGAAGTGTGTGGTAGGTGAGCGTGGACCGTGCGCAACACCACCACCACGAAATAGTGGTGAGCGAATGGAACCATGTCGCGCACGACCCATACCTTTTTGTGGCCAAGGTTTGCGTCCACCGCCACGTACTTCGGCGCGCGTTTTAGTATGAGCAAAGCTTACATAACGATATTTACGCTGCCATTCTATGTTCTCTTGTATGACATCGACGCGGGGTTGGGCTGCGAAAACGTCAGGATGTAATTCTATAAGTCCCAATTTGCGTTCCTCCACTGCATCGATGTTTTCAATCCAAGCTTGTCGCGTTGCCGACTGGTTCATAGGTTCATATTGCGGCCAGTTTTGTGGTAATATGAGCGGTGCCACAGGCTTTGTTATCGGCTTCGTTACTTCTGGTTCTTCCTTGGCGGCATCGTGCGTGGCACGGATCGCAATGCCGCGCAGCGAGGGCACTAAAACATTTTTAGTTTTATTTAACAAATTCAACATTTTTTTATGGAAAAGTTAACAAAAACTGGGAAAATGTAAATTGAGAAGCGTGACACAAACACAGCTGTTTTTATTTTGACATTTCTTAGCCTACGAAAAGTGGGTGGTATAAAAACAAAAAAAGCGAAGTGGAAAAATACAAAGTTGATTTTATGGCACGATTTTATGGGTACTTGGTCTTTAGCAATACAAAAATTAGGGTACGTTCACACAGCAAGCGCGGCCGAGCTGAGCGAAGCCGTTCCGTGGTGAGTGAAGTTTTCAAATTGCTGTAGCTATATGAAAGTGTTCATACAGCAATCCCTTTCAGAAGCGTTATGGAGCTGAAAGCCAAGCAGTTTTTAAAATATTGTAAAAAAATGTCATACAAGTTTGTTAAATTTACAAACTTTAACAACAAATTCCTTAAAAGCTATAAGGCTCCGCGCTTTGAAACTTCATACAGACAACTATTAGACCCCCTCTACCTACCATATTTTATTTAATTCCGTTCTCCGGAGTTACCCATCTAAAGCCCACCCCTAAAATTTAATATGCTATAAAACTGCGTACTCAAAATTTCAACTAATTTGAAAAATTAAAAACTTGAAACCCGATTAGAAAGCAAACTGAAAAGAAGGTTCGGAAATGCGTCAAAAAAACCTTGTTTTAATAACTGCAAAACAGAATAACGAAATGACGAAAAAAATTAATCATGAAATGCACCCCGTGCATAAAAAAAACTTTCAATCTTTTTTTTACTTGAGTTGCCCTGTGATGGTATGACACTGGGAAATGTCAATTATTGACGTTCTTTGTTTGTCTGCTAAAAAGTATGCACTGATTTTTTGCTTGCCAAAACCTTAGCAGTAAATTTGCAGGAAGTGAAAATTTATATTTTATTCGTTATCAAGGCTGCAATTGCAAACTGCAAAAATGCTTACAGACATAGATGACGATTTCTTTTTCGAGGAGGATAAAATGTAAGTTAAAGAGCGCATTCCCCAAAGAAAATTTCATTGCATACATAGTATGTCTGTCTGTTTTAAAACATTTGTTGGGTTTGTGTAATAAATCAATACCATTGCATATTGTGAAACCTATTTACATATTACGTTCTAAATTAAACAAAATTTCTAAATCTCTGTGTGTTTATGAGTTCGTTTAATTCGTTATTTTCAAATTCTTAAATTTTTATACACAATTCTAAAATTTCCAATGAACAAAATACCATTTGATGTACATACATACATACATAGTAAAAGCGTTGAATTGGATTCTGCCATCGCGCCACTACTGCCTATCGATAAGTAAGTACAAATCATAATAAAGCAATCGCTTGACAGAACAAATTGTATGAAACATCATACATACATTTCCCCAAGCTCTACAATATCGGAACAGCAGCAGCCATTAGAAGAGCAGAGTGAACTGAATTTAGATGAGGCCACATTCGATTTTGATATTGAATTGGTGGTTGACAAAGAAGTGAAGGCGACAGCATCTGCAGATGATGATATTGCGGAAACAAGTGTTGTTGTACCCTTTTTGTGTGATCGTTCAAATGATTACGATAGGCAGAAATTTGAGTTAGAGCGGCTGTAAGTTTTTACTTGTAATAAACGGCCAAGAAGTGCTTAAGTCGTAGGCTAGTTTTATAATGGAAATATGTACTTATTAGTCCTTGTCTACTAGGTAGACTCTACTTATATACATACATACGTGTACGTGCAGTGCTCCTGTAGTAGATATAAAGCTCGTTTTTATATGTGGAGCGAGTCTAATATACGTACATACATACATATGCATATAGAGATGTAGCCCAAATCCATAGGTTTAATGTACTTATAAAAATAAAGAAACTTAGTTTTGCTTGCTAATGAAATACGTATTTTAGTTTTGATTGTTTTAAATTTTATGTTTGGTTTATTTTATTTTTTTTTAATTTAACTCCTAAAGAAAATCAATAAATAAGCTAGAGAAGTTAATTCCTTAAAGCGTGCAAATACAATAGATTTTTTACATTTACAATTTTTTTTTTATTAAAGGAAGTTAATTATTAAAGAACAGAAACAAACATTTTAGGTTAAACACACACAGCATAATCCAGTAATCTATCGCCAGCTTTCATTTTCTCCCATGCGCAATCACAAATACATACGTTAAATAATATTATGTAGGCAGTCAACGAAACAAGCCGAAAATAGCTCGCTAAAACCATCGACCAATACGAGGTGAGAACAGCAACCGCTGCTCACACTTGCATCATACCACCTAACCATAGATATTAGTCACCATAGACCAGTCGCGAGGTTTTATCCTCTACGAAAACCATACCAAGACTATCGTTCGCGCAACATCCGCAAGATCAGAAACGCAACAGTCGATCGCTTCATACCCGTTGGCAGGAATTCGAAGATTCGTCTGTGCTGATATACCTGATCGATTCTGACAGGCTTATTCAGGGCATCCCCACGCTGAGTACTTCAATAAGGATGTTAGAGCTCTCGTCTAATAATAAAAGCGCAACAAGTGAAATGAGCATCTTCAGTCCTGCAATCTCTCCAGCGGAGCAAGCAGACTGTTATCAACAGTAAAGCCTCTTTCCCAAGCAAAATATGCACCCCGAGACACATCATCGTTCTTAACACCGTTCAAAATCTCTATCTGGATTCTAGAAAACTTGGACCTACGGAGTCAAGTATATCACGGCCGCATATAGCGTATTTCTGTCCACTCTGATTATCCTAGGACTTTGAAAATTGAGCAGGATTGCCCCCCTCCTTAAACTAGGAAGGACGCAGGATAATCCTATAGCACCGTGTTGACAGAGCATCTCAACTGCCGAACAGCAGGGTGGATTCCGTAAAGAACCCCACCCACACAACATTAAACGCCATCCTCTTACGTAAAGGCGAGGGTCTGATTCAGTGTAGACTCTGAGATAGATCGATTCTAGTCGAGGTTGACCTGTCGAATACATTTTACACGATTAACTATGCGCGCCTCTGCCAAGACAGTCATAACTCGTCGCTTACAGTTCGGGCGAATCCTTGGATAACCAGTTATCTGCGTGGACGTCAATAGTCAGTTGAATTTCGCAACATCAAGTCCAAGTAGAATTAAGCAGAGGGCTCCTGCCGTTTAATCTCTACAGGGCCAAACACCCTCCGCTGCCAGTTGCAAACGGGATCAAACATCGACAGCTTTTCATTATCTCTCTGATCCTTTAAACTTTTCCAATGTCAGAAATGTCGATAGATAATCTTTTCTCTTTCTCGCCGTATACCATTTGCAATAAATTACGTGCCAGGAACAAAGTCCCCAAGTCACTAGCTGGCAGTACAGTGGGGAGGCGAGAAAGACACCCTATCTACAACGTACAAAGTAATCTACCGGTGGTGGCAAATTACGCAGCCACAGTGTGGTCGCCAGAAACGAGTAACACACAGTGGAGAGATTTGCAGATGTGCCAGAATGCAGCTCAACAATGGCTACAGAGGCTGGCATTACCTCCATGCCGAAAACCAGATGGTGGTGGTGAAAGAACATAACATTCTGTTATCGAACAGTTCAAAGTAAAATACTATCGGGACCGCCTTTAATACCCGTAAAGAACACGTCGTGCCTGGTGGTGGACCGCCGCCCATTAATATTGAGGAAGCAGAACTGTCAAAGAGACCAGGTGCTAGCACAGCTCTGCTCCGGGCTGTGCCACAGGCTCAACAGCTACACCTTTCATCTGAACACAGAAGCTTTACGAATCGCGCCCAAAGACGTTGACCGTTTTCTTGACCCCCGGGTTGCTGAGGTCATCACCTGGCGGGATATTTGGAGGTTGAGCACTGCTGCTACAATAACAACAACAACAGATGAGAGTAAAAAAAATTCAACTTTGAAGAAACAAGGTCCCAAACCCAGTGGTATACCGTCTGAACTGTTAAAAGCCTTCGGTGAAGATCTGGATGGACGTTTGTGATATTGGAAGGTCATAGTAATTTTGCACAATCCACAAAAGGAGCTACCCCGCTCTTATCGGCGGATAAGTCGTCTCTATATTTTCATACCGACGAATATATATACATATCGTCGTTTAAAGTACAAAACCGCGTATGTGAGATTGCATAAATTATTTTCTAGAGAGTAAAAACACTCATATTTCAAAATGGTTCCCTTTTTTATAAGGCAATCGCATTTCTGGCTGGTATATTTCAGGACGAATGGATAAGGATTGAGCCAGGAGCTTGTGTGCATACTATAAAAAAAAATCAAAAATAAAAATAGAGAAAATGACTAGAAAAAAATGAAAAACACGGGAAAAAATAGAAAAATTCTATGAGTTCAACATTTTCAAATGATATGAACGACCCTTACGGATTTTTCCCTAAATTTTAAAATCTTATGGTGATTTCGTTACTTCCAAAAAATGTTATTTTAGAATCGAACACGAAAAGAGAAAAGGGCGATAAAAAAGGCGAAATTTTTTGGTACCTCGAAATCACCATTAGACTTTATAATGGACCTTAATTTTTTGGCAAAACGAACACAAATTTTCGTGAGCATGGAATATACAATTTTTTTTTGACCACCCTAATGTATATATGTAGTATGTACCTACGAGTAATTGGCTATATTACTTAGATAGTTTACTTTGATTACCCAGATCCTAAGTATTTAAGTACATACATGCGCAAATAATGTACCGATTAATTCTACCCTCCTCTTCATCTATGGCTTTTATTGTTTTAAGCACTTTTTATTTTACATGTCATGCAATAGTGTGTATGTAGATACATTTGTATGTATGTATGATGAGTTTTGTACCCTCCTAAATGTCCAATTCATTAAAATCATATCTTATGTACTGTAGCATAATTAGCCCTTAGGGATCTCATCACCATCATTTTACATGAATAACTGCAATATGCTTCAAAATATAAAACACAAATTTATTTTACTTACCCAACTGCGGCACACAGGGGCATGACTGTGACAACCAATTCGGTGGTGATTACCAAGGACCAAAGTAATTTGATAGGCATCAGCATTGGAGGTGGTGCACCAATGTGTCCCTGTCTATACATCGTACAAGTAAGCTTAGAATCAAAACTGTTAATTTTTAATAGCTTTAATACTAATACATACATTCTACCTTCCCGAAAGGTCTTCGATGGCACGCCTGCAGCGCGTGAAGGTTCCCTACAAAGCGGCGATGAGCTGTTGGCAGTCAACTCGGTCAGTGTGAAGGGTAAAACCAAGGTGGAAGTGGCTAAAATGATACAAGCTGCCACTACAACTGTCACCATACACTACAACAAGCTGCATGCCGATCCGGAGCAGGGCAAATCGCTGGATATTATATTGAAGAAATTGAAGCATCGCATTGTGGATAATATGTCGAGTAATACAGCAGATACTTTGGGCCTCTCGCGCGCCATCCTTTGCAATGATTCACTGGTAAAACGGTTAGAAGAACTTGAGGGAACCGAACTGATGTACAAAGGCTTGGTGGAGCATGCGCGACGCATGCTGAAAGCCTATTACGATTTGCTGCAAACTTACAAAGCCTTCGGCGATTGTTTCACACAGATTAGCGCACGCGAACCGCAGCAACGCGCCTCTGAGGCATTTCGCATGTTTGGCGAATTTCATCGAAATCTCGAAAGGGACGGTCTCGGCATAATCAAACAAATCAAGCCAGTACTCTCCGATTTGGGCACGTACCTGAACAAGGCGATACCGGACACCAAGCTGACTGTGCGCCGTTATGCCGATGCGAAATTTACTTATCTCTCGTACTGTCTGAAGGTGAAGGAAATGGACGATGAGGAGCATAGCTTTGCTGCGTTGCAAGAGCCGCTCTATCGCGTCGAGACCGGTAACTATGAATACAGACTAATTTTGCGTTGTCGCCAGGATGCGCGCAACAAGTTCGCCAAATTGCGTACCGATGTATTGGAGAAGATGGAATTGCTGGAGTGTAAACATGCTACAGATCTCAATCAGCAATTGCGCAGTTTGCTTGATAGTTTGGCGCAACTGAATCGTTCAGTGGTGGAGCGCATGGACGCCTTGCCGTCACTTTTCCCTATCGAGGTTGATTTCAAAGAAACAGACTTCCAATACAAGTCCAGCACGTTGAAGCCCCAGGACGTGGACGAAGAAGATGAGGAGAGCAACGTGCGCACTGAAGCGAATACACTACGCGCGTCGAGCACCGAAGTTGTTTGTGGCCTAGAGGCGGTCGAAACACCAGCGCCCGTAATGAGTGTACAGCAGAAGGGAAGCATCTTAGACGATCTTGACGTGGCGGACAATCAGTGTGCGGAAAATAATGAAACGCTCTTAAAGGAGTTGGGTCTATTCGGTGTCGATCTTATGTCCAATCCGCAAACTTTGACGAATCAAAAGGATTCGGTTGCTGCACAAAATGGTGCTTACGATTTTGATTTGTTTCTCAATCAGACGGCAGCAACAACGACGCAATTGGAGCAGGATTTAATGTCAGCGAATGCGTCGGAAACAGATTTGCTGTTGCAGTGAGTTGGCGGGCGGCTAGGTGGAAAATGAGCTTCGAAAAAAAAACAAATTTAAAAATATGTATTACCAAAAATTAGGCGATAGATATGTATCTATATAACGGTAATGACCCAGTGTATTTAAAAGTTAACGGTTATACTGGAACCATTGCGATCTAGGTTTGATGCAGACACGTTCATATGCATTTAAAAAAAAAAACAGTTACTTGTTATTTGGAGAAATTTGTAATTCTCAGCATGAAATTAGCATTTTCCTATTTGAAGTATGTATGTATGCAGATTAGGGTGCATTGCAAAAACCAATTTGGAAATACCTCGTAAAATCTCATTATATTAATTTCGTGATAAAATTTGTAAATTTTTTTTTTTATGGATATTTAAAAGCTTAAACTCATCTATCATTTAAGATGATTTTTTGGAAAAAATATTTTTAAAGGTATTTTCAAATAGTTCTAGCTCACGTGAAGCATAAAATTTTTCTGAAATATTTTGACCGGAACTCTTAAAATATATAATACATTTTATATTTCCGATTGGAAACAGTTTGTTTTTTTTTTGCTGTGTAGAGAGTGATGCACTGTAATGTAGATATGTTTAAGTATTCAAATTTTTATGAGTATCACAATTATCCAACAGAGTTTGAGCTGTGTGAAAAATAACAAAAATATGGTATAAAAATGTGTCCTAAGTGATTATATTTTATATGGTTTATGTATTAAATAACCAATAAAATTATTTTTGTGTACCTATATTACATGCTTCATGATTTTGAAAGTTTACAACTTTTCCACAGAGAAATGCGTTTTTTATACAACAACCGATCAGCACGCCTCTACTCGGCGCTCACATCTGCTTCCCGAGAGAACCATTTATCAAACCGATATACATACGTACTTATGTACATTAGGGTGGGTCAATTTGTACCGAAATATTTTTCGACTATGCGTGTATAGCGTATATGTACGTGTAATTCTAAGCAAATTTGCCGAGGAATCCATGGGTCTAAAAGCAATTTTGAGTTTGTCAAATTACGTAAATAAGTTTCTTTAGTATTGTCTGTTGTGTCGTAAATTAAAAAAAAAAACTGCTATAAGGGACAACTCGTTCTACGAAGAATGTTTCGCCGCTGCAGAGAAAAATAGTGCCGTTTAGGGGGACGCGCTGCGATCGAGTTGAAGAGGGAAGCGAGATGTGTGTATGTATGTATGTATTTTCCATAATCAAAATTAGCAGTTCAAAACAAGTTGCGAAGAACTTGAAGTGCTGACCGTTAGGAATAACGTCATCGGTCTTCATCGACCACCAATCGCCGCCAAGTGTTTCAGCTAACTCTAGCGCAATGCCGCAACTTAAGTTTGGATAGTGTAGCAGACTTAACACTTACTTATTCAGACTCGACTTAACACATGTCCGACTTGCGAAGATACCCCGCACTAAGCCAATTACTTTTTCACTTTTGCCTTAAAACCACTTATTTAACACTTTTCTCCCCCTGGCCCAAACAGCCACGTTTCCTGTGCTTAGCTTTAAATTAGTCGATTTAGGCCGGGCTTAGCACTGCCACTAAAACAAGATCCAATTTTCTCCTCCAGAAAGTTAGGCTATTTACCGACTCAAGTACATCCTCCCTACCGAATAGTAACAACACTGAAACTAGTGCAGAAGATGAACCTGCCGCCCTCACCGCCCGACTGTTACGAATAGTAATTTCGCGGCTGAAAAACAACAAAACTACTGGGAATGACGGCCTGCCAGCTGAGCTATTCAAGTGCAGTGACGATTTGAAATGGTACGTACATCAGCTCTTATACATAAAATGGTCGGATGAAGGCATGCTCGTGGCTTGAGTGCCTGCCCAATCCACAAAAGGAAACCCCTCTAGCGAACGGATTCGACCTTATTGGCTTTGGCCTTAGACATTGGTAAATTCATCATACACGACGCATTCCCCAAATCTTGTAAAAAATCCTCGGGAAGACGGTCGACACTTACCACATATGCGTCGCGTAAAAGCCATCTTCGAAAGCATGAAAATGAGCTGTCTTTACGCCACGATGTCCGAATTTGGTATCCGATGCGGTATCCGCTGGTTGTCGTCTATGAAGGCTGAAGGGGGATAAGGACTTAGCTTCACTAGGTAGTTCTAATTGTCGCCAATTAGCCGGAGTGAGAAATGACCGGCATGCTAAGTTGAAAAAGTAAGTCACTTTTCAGCACATTTTCCTTTAAGTTCGATACACCTCATCCGTTGGTTTCATGGTTGACCTTTTCTTCGACCCAAAATAGTGGCTAGGAATAGCTTTAGAAACTAGAAAACTTGATGGGCAAGTAATTCATAGCTTAATTTATTTATTACTCTGTAATGCCGTAGGTAATACGCTGTGCGATTGCCTATCGCATCGCATTTCTCTTTCGTATCGCAATACAGAGTAGCCCCCCTGTTCTTTCCATTGCATAGGCAATTCCCAGCCTCATGGGGGTTTGTTGGCCACTGACGTACTATCTCAATTGTTCACGTCATATTTTCCAAACAAATTCGATTATCTAGGGCTTGTATTCGTCCGCAATTTTCGGTTTGAAGCAGAAAAAATAAGTTTTTTTTTATTAAATTTTTTACAGGTTTTCGGAACTTTTTAACCCTGTATTCACTAAAAACGTATAACAAAATACATTTGGCTCATTACGACAACGGGCTTGTTCGAGATGTAATCACAACCGCAGTGTTGCGCGAATTATTAAAGAATCACGTTCGGTGTGAATTTCTAGCAAGGTTTTATCAGTTGGGAAGTTGCAACAGTATTGCATATTTTCATCGGTGCTGCAGTACTGCCGCTTTTATTACGTGCCTCGAATAGGCCCAACTTCTACGCGATTAAATGCGCAATAAATAAAATTCACGTTAGTTTCAAAATTGCGCGATGGAAAAATAAGTAAATATTTTCAGTACTATCAATCAATCCACACCTAAAACAAACTACTAACGATATCTCGCACCAATAATTTTTTTTAATGTTGAGCAGTGTAATAATTAACACAACAGATTTGAGTTTTTGTTGCTTTAGTTATATTTTTTAATACATATTTTCAAAACGAATTTAAACAATTGCAATTATAATAAATTCAGTTTTACAGTCATGGATATGTAAGTACAGTTGAACACTATGACTGCAAAGTATTGTACTTTTTCTCCCAAATAGTCTTACAACTTTTTGTTCGATTTGTTTATTAAGCTAAGAATATAGTGGAGCGACGAAAAAAATATCTAGATGATTCACCAACTTAATTAAGTGCGGTAGTACGTAAAAAAAGAGCTGACATTTCTGTATAACGACTTTTGGCGCTTTTATCGTCGCTCAACTATATCCTTAACCTTACTTTGCCGGCACTAATAATAATTATTTTAGGGTTCCAGCAACCAATAATAAGTAATCACATTTATGTATAAATGTAGGAATTTAAATGTGCATTTGTTCTTTAACAACAAAATGTTTACATATGTATTTACAATTGATGAATAATTTTGTGAATGTATGTATATAACCAAGAAAAATAAAATAAATAAATAAATGAGAAATGCAGGAATAGTGACACAACATCTAAGTACTATAATAAAGTCGGTAATGAGAAGAGAAGCATAGTACATACATACTGTAAAAAGTTCAAAAATGTAATAAATAAATTTATATACATACATTTGTAGGAAAATAAATAATTTCATTAACTAAATATTTTAAAACTATTTGTGTTTCTATATTACAATAAACTAAACGAACATTCTATGAATTAAAATAGTAACAAGAAGCATATAACATATGTACATTTAATATTTAATACAATTTCAATAATTTCTGTTACATCTCTAATAAATCTAAGCCGCAAAAAACACTAGCCTAAATACGTTTTCAGCAAATTCGCTACGTCGAACAATCGCTCAATGGGGGTATTCGCTGAGTCTTGCAAAGCCCTTACACGTTGCACGGATTGCACGGTTTGCAAAGCTTTGCAAGACTCAGAGAATACCCCTAATGAATTCGAAACTTAAAACGTGCTTAGAGCCTGCATTTACATACATACATGGTTGAGCTATGTGTGCTTGTTATGCAAAAGGAAAAATATATATATAATTACCTTTACACATAGCTGTTGCTTAATACTATTTTGATACATCATCATGCATAATTTAAAGAGTGTAATAGACGGTAGACTTTGTGGGTTTTTCGATATCATTACACATCTTCTACACCCTTCAACTGTAGTCATACACGATTTGGAGTTTTTGTTTACATTTTTGATTTTCATATTCACTGGGATTGTCTTGTATATATGTATGATGTATTTATACAGATACATATATATGTATATTTCCTTATAAGCCTAAACGCCTACTGTTCCTGGCCTTGCGAAGACACTCTCTCTCCCTGCTGATGCTGATGCTGCTGCTGCGACTGCGCCTGCTGCCGTTGGCGTCTAAGGCGCTGCGCATTATTGTAACAATTTAAATTAGCTGTTACACGGCTTAGCAACTCTGTCATGCGATTTGGTATTTTAAGCAGCTGCTGACGACGCTGTCGCTGCTTGTTGATGTTGCTCCTATGACCTTTCTCTGCAGAATTACCATTGAGTTGCTCTAAAACTGCCGAGTGCTGTACGTAAGTAACAAATGTGTTCGCGTGCTGCAAGTCTTCTAGATCGACAAGGTCGTGCAATGTTTCTACCGACACCACACGCATATTTACCAAGCCTTCAACCAATCCTGCAGCGACACTGGCGCTTAACTCATTGCCATCACCGCTGGCACTGGTACCATGCCCGCCAACAAGAGACCCAACATTTACGCCAAGCGCAGCAGCTGTTGTAGATGTTGCATGCATCAGCGTTCGGCCACCATCACCTACGCCAGTGCTAGCACCTAAAGCATTATTGCTAGCTATAATAGCGGCGCGGTAATGTGCCGCGCCCAGCGGACACTAGGCACATGTGAGTAGCGCGTCGTCGAGTAGCTTCACGCGTAGCTTTTGCTTGTAGTGATATTCCTTAAGGTATGTTTTGAGGCGAACCGGCAGCTCCAGCTCGGATATGCCGTCATAGGTGGTATTGGAAACAATGGCAGCGCGCGCCAGCTGTTGCAAAGAGAAGACTGTCTTGCGATGGAATGGTACAGTCAACATTGGCTCAAAGAACATGACACTACCGGGATCCTTGTAGTGCTCCAGTAAACCGGTCACTGTTGAGGTACTGAACACTGCTGGGTCGTGACAATCGAAACTGTTAAAAGGAGAGAACGAAAAATTTAGTGAGCGAGTATTAAAGATTTTAACTGGGTACAAATGAATTTTGCCAAATAGCAACCTGTCACTCAACCCAGTGAAATGGCGAGTTACACTTGAAACACGCTTACCTGAACTTGTGTCCACTCTGCTCAATGCGCGCATGCAACGATCGCCCGTACTTTC